AACCAAATATTCTGTCGCGGGTTTGGAACTCATATGATAATACCCAAGGGGGTCACTGATGCTGGTGGCCCCTTCCCACCCTTTTTACTCAAATGACCTGTAGCATATTTCTTGACTCTAGAAATGACAATAACTCACGTGACATTAATGATAGTGACTTTATCAAGTAGTGAAAAGGTAGATAATAGCGAGTGTCAACCTTAACTCTTCAATAATGAGTAAGTAATTACATTACTAATGAGTTTGTTGATATTAATCGTAGAGATTGGTAAGTGCAGGTGTCACGTACTAATCAACGGATTCACTAGACATTTTGGTCAGGCGTTGCAGTGGAAATATTAAGACAAGTACTTTCAAGAAAAAAGAATACACGGGCTAAAATTGAATAATTGTAAAAGTACGGTGATCAAGGGTGTAATTTATGTTCACTAGTGGTACACATAAGCACCACAAGTCAATAATTAATATCTTACTCAACGAGTCCTTTCAAACTTTGAATGTAGATTTGATAAAGCGACTTAAATTGTCTCTCAATAATAGTATTTTAAACTAGAATTATGATGAAATAAAGAATGGAGACGGAAAGTCAGTGGTGGACTTGGGATGAGCAATGGCCCTGCCCCCCTTCCAAATATTTCTATATTACCCAATGAGAATTTTTTAGATATATTATCTTTTATTAGGAGAAATTTTTTTCTTACCCCTAATATTGAATTCTGGACCGAACCACCCATTTGACGTCCCTATATAATACCGGCTTTTGAGCATGATGGGAAATTCTAAAGAGAAAAATATATGACGTGATGGCATTGCTGAGGCAATTTCTTAATAGATTTTGAAGTTGATAAAATTATCCATGTTAATCTTGTAAATCTAATATGTACTCTGAAGTATTTTGATCCAGGTAAATATATTCTAGAAGTGGCAACTTTAATACTTTAAGATAACTTAACTTTTTGGACACTCAGACTTTACGAGATTCAGAAGAAAAACTTCAGATTCTACGAGTTTCAGAACGAAAAGTTCAGACTCTACTGAAATAGACACTCAGACTTTATCTTAAGATGTCAGAGAACCTCATACTCTAATTTTGAAGGACTCAGACTTTACTGAAGACCTACGCTGACTTTGTTTCTGACTATAAAGCGAGAATCAAAAACTCTTTAGACTCAGAATTTATTTAGAACGAAACATAACGGCTAGTGATCTGGTGTGGATTTCACAAAAGGAAAGTTTTGATTGACTCAATCGAAGGCTATAATTGATTGACAAATCAGATATTATGGCAAGTATATATCACAATGGATAAAGCTCTTCTTATGAAAATCAAGATTTTGGTTGTATGGGCGACCGGATTCAGTGGGATTCAGATTTTGTCAACCAACGGCTACTCAATCTATTTTATAGAAATCTGTCCAAGGTGAAGATTGGACAATGATCCTCTGAAGACTGTCCAACGGCTAGTTTGGAAGTGGAGGAGTATAAAAGGAGATTAACGAGGAGCAGAAGGCAGCGAAGGAAATCGAGAATCAACAAGTCCAAAGTTTGAGTACATTTCGATTCTATTACTTGTCTTTCTTGAGCTAAATACTGAGATTTCGAGTGATATTATGTAAGAGTAATTGTGTAAGATACAGAGTTCTGTCATTCACCGAGTGTTATCACTCATAACTTGTAATCCCTTTTGATCATATAGTGGAATCCAGTCACTAGGCTATCAGCGTGGGAGAGTAGACGTAGGCTTGATCTAAGCCGAACTACTATAACTTCTTGTGTGCAGTTCTCTCTATCCCTAATCTCTCATTATATTGTTTACACTGCATACTAGCACATTCAATCTTAACATTGTTCAGATTTTACTGATTATAAATCGTTTCCGCTTTAAATTCTTTAAAATCACTCAAATCACATATTCAACCCCTCTAAGTGATACTTGCTAACTACATAATGCACCCATATAACCCGGGACATTTCCTAGTGCACGATTGATGCCAAAATGGCTACATAAAAAAATATCGATTTATCATTCAAATATTGTCTTTGTTCGATCAAAAGTGTTGTCAAATGCATTTTTTAAATGGGTTAATACCACGAAAAACTTCAAACTGGTACATTTGTGACAAATTTACCAAAAACTAATTTTTTGACCACCAAAAGCCCTAAACTTGTATACCTGCGACAAATTTACCCTAAACTAATTTTTAGACCACCAAAAACCCCAAACTGGTACATTTTTGACAAATTTACCCTCCGTTAAATTGGATTAATTCCACGAAAAACCTTAAATTGGTATACCTATAAAACCCCAAATTAGTACGCCCGTCAACTGGCACTTGTCATCCAACTCAGTGATTTGATGGTAAAATTGAACGGAAACTAGTGGAAGGTAAAATTATCACAGATGTACCAGTTTAGGGTTTTTGGTGATCAAAAAATTAGTTTTAAGTAAATTTATTATATGTGTACTAGTTTGGGATTTTTCGTGGTATTAATCCTTTTTAAATTACTTAAATAGATAGTATACATGGTAATAACTTCTGGTTTTTACTAAGGATATGGATCCGTCGACATAGCATGCGTATATGAGCGGTCATTTCTACTCTCATATAAATATCTTGATTAAAATTGAGTTTACGTGTCAACTGGACAAGGAGGTTTCAACTTTAAACTCCGCATTAATTGGAAAGGTTATAGCCGGAGAAGCTAAAGGCCAGGACCGGTCCTTTGCTCTGATGGAGACATAAAAATGGACGGTGGAGTTTGAGCTTTATGTCGGCAAGAGCATATTCATCCCCCTTCGTATATTCATTTCTTTTTTGGTTTTGAAGTTGCTTTTCAAGCGAAGAAGAGGAATCTCATCGCCATTACAAAGATCAAGATGTGATCGAATTAAGATAAAATAAGAACACCCACCCTGGGTCAAGCTGCAAATTGCTGTAGGACACAGCTAACGACAGATCACTGGGTCCATAGTTCAATGTTAATTCCCCAACCAGGGCCAATTTCGTCCTCTCGGGACAATCTACTCCAAGGTTATCTTGCAAGTATTCCTGACGAGATCGACCCACCCAAGATGTCAATTAATATAAAACTCAAATTCCATGAAATTCAAGCAACCTCACTACCCCAGCTAAAGTAAAAAAACATACCTAAAAATCCACTGATTCCTCCAACATAGGAAAAAAAAAGCCACCGATTAGCTGGGTTGCAACCTTTTAATTTGCCTCTTCCGCAAAATCCCTTCAATTCAAAGATAAAGATACCCGCTACTAAGATTGATCGAGGTGGGGCCAAAAGATCACGTTTTTTTTTTTTTCTGAAAGAGTTGAAATTAAATTTGGCCACTTCAGTAATGGGAACTTTTTTGGAAATTTCCATCAATGAAGGATCAGCCACTGCCCAACCGTCTACCACCGAAGGAAGGATCCCATCCGCGAAAAAAAACTGAGTCAAGGCTTCGACCTTCAAAGGAAATGTCAAGGGGAAGTTGTTCTCCCAAGAAACAGCTGAGCTTCTATCAAGGACAGTTGCTGACGCTACTGAATCTGCTGCAGCCGCCAGTGCACGAAAGCAGCTAACTCCTAAACTCAACTCCAGCAGCAGATAACTCGACCACAACCTGGCCTTGTTTGCATCGGGGCCGGCGTTGAGAGAGGAAGAGAGAGAGTTGGGGATGGACACGGCAACGGGGGCCACAGCAGTGGAGTGCGATGGTGGGTATGGCGGCTATAGAAGCGCCATAGAGATTGCTTTTGCGAGCAAGCAGTTGGTTTCCATAGAGATTGCTGGGAAGTTCCGATTCTAAGCACCGGTAGCAACTCCGGCACGGATCTTATCGATGGAATTCATGACTCAAAACACCAATCTCAATTGACAAGGCAAACGGTGGAAATGTTCTTAAGAACTTGTGCCTGCACATGTATAAACGATGACTATAAATTTCAATATTTCCTGGGAGCATGATGGATAACAAAATCGGAATAAGGCGTGATTAACGTGGCTTATGATATGAACCGACTAAAGAGGGGTGAAAACCACAGAAGTTAACAGCTTGAACCTAATGGCAGAAGTCAATTTCATAGTTGTTTTAAGGGAAAAATTCAGTCAACCTATTACTAGATGAGGCACCAGTACATGCGAGTCAGATACTTCCTTTAATCACCAGCAATGCCCCATACACTCTAAGCAAAAAGGAAGTATACAACCTTTAATTACATGAGTCCCCCCCTCGACATAAAACACAAAATGAGTGAGAACCAATCTGGAATCATGCTTAAAAGGTGTAATGTCATAAGATTTTCCTACTCTGAATTGCCCGAACCAGCTATTGCTGCTTCCAATTACAGCACCGAGATGGCGGGGATCGATTTTGAGAAACTCTGCACACAATTTCCAACATCAGAACAAACAACGGGTACTTGTGACAGTTTTTAAGAGACTCATTGAAAAAGGTAGCCTTCCGAGGCTAATTCAACGAGATACTTTGTTCATCTCCGGCACAAACAGCACGGCATCCTCAACATACCCAAACCCGCTAATGGGTGACCATAACATCGCATCATAATTTATAAAAGAGGAGTAATGTACCTCCGATTTCAAAAAGGCCATCCTCCCACATAAGGGTGCTGGAGCAACATAGAACTTACTAAAAGGGGAGATCAAAACTTTGTCAGCATAAGGAGAAAATTAAGGTCCGCCAATTTAGTTCATCTTTTAATGGAAGTTTCCAAGCAAGCTAAGTATACAGACTCATATGACCAACAGCTGCAAAAAGATTTAAACAGACAATGATATGTTTATGTTAATTTCAGCACTGCTGAATGCTGGGGTAGAATGAACTCCATGAGATTGGGGCGGAGTGAAAAATGGCACACTCTTGTCTTCTCGTGGTGGAAAGCGAACTCCCGCAATTTGTCAATGGTCATAGAGGAATCGTATTAAGAAAACGCAACATAGGATTGTACTAGAAGTCTAGATAGCAGAAAGATCGCTAAGGCTACCTTCAACTCATCATATGCAGAATAGTATTGAGGATACCTTCCCCTTGGTCCCCCTACAGCTTCTCGCCATGTATCTATCAAGGTCAGTAACTTCTCCATCATATTAAAATCTGGCTGCACGGAGCATGTAGAAACAGCAAATGACAATCTCAAAAATGAACAAATTCAGAATAAAAGTCAATCATGGGGTACAGAGTAGGCACCTTTTTAAATACCATTCTAACCATTTCCTGTAGGATAACAGACTCAATAATATTCTGAAATACGCTATTGCCACAGTTTTTGCTAAGAGTCTCCAACACCTACTTGAAATTGATAACCAAATATTTTAGCCAAGTGATAGCCGCCTCTTGTAGCCATTTAGAAGAAACAAAAGAAGAGAGCAACTGGATCTAGAACTATGCACATATAAGAAAGTAGAGCATGATACTGACACAGAGGGTCAGAAGCTGTATTTTTTGATCTTTATTGCCCGGGCGCTTCTTCGTAGGGATCTTCATCACCTCCTTTGCCTTCCTACAGAAGTCAAACCAATTCAGCGACTAAAACCAATATCTTTGATGCAGAAATAACATGTAAGGAACCAGCAAAAAAGCAGTTGCACAATACAATAACTCCATTCCGAAGATCCATGACATCTCGGAAGTTGGAACACCCCCAGTACTTTTTCTTCTCTTATGGAAAGTACAAGTAAAACTACACTAATAAAATATTTTTGAAGAATGAAGGTGCTAAATGTTTTATCAACGCATAAGGATGACGCTATTGAGGATGCTAATGTGTACAGATCAATGCTCTCTCCAACATCTGATTGAATATCAAACTTCATAAGTCAAAAAATAGGGACAGCAAATAGCAGCATATTCCTCCAGTTTGTTAGCCATATGATTTATGTCATAATTTATCTCCCTCTTTCTTGTGAACACTCCAAGATAGAGTTTAGAGAGAACATAATTGATATACATTCATATATACATTTATATAGTTTTGATATAGAAGCATCTTAGTAATTGTGAATTTTCGAGTATGCGTATGAATTTCTAATCTTCATTTGGAAGTAGAATCATACTCCCTGCAATCAAGAAACAATATTCAAATTCAGCAAATTACATAACATGTTTCCGCATGGCATTCGTGTCTTTATATTATAGTGTACATGACATCAAAAAAAAATGGATAGCATGTTTGGGATAAGGCTTATTTGTTTTCAGTTGCGTTCAACTTATTACCCAACTTTTGTATCTCGACATCCGACCTCACACCTTTTTTTTTTTTCCATTTTTTCAGGTAAGAAGTAGCATTATCTTAAAACTGGGTCAGTCACACAATGCTTTTTGATGCTCTTTAGTAAAGAACGAAAAGTTAATTGAATCACCCCAAGGATTTACATTTCTAAATAAATTCATGATTCATAAGCTGTGTAAAGTTGGACTCCTTGGAATTTCGGGAAGGGTAAATTAAAGAGTCCATCAAAGACAGAGAGGCCAATGGATCACATCGTTACAAACAGCAACGGACCAGCAATACTTAGTTCAAAAATCGAATATGCCAGGATGTATTCATCTAAGCATTTAGAAAGAGAAAGAGTCCTTCAATTACAGGAATTATCATATGGTACATTTCCGGATTCCTAAAATAAGTTTGTCATAGGTTGATTCGGTTCAATAATACAAACAGAAGCATATCAAAGGAACTCCAGAAAAGGGACCGAGAGAAAATTCAGCCCCTCCATTGGTAGTAAATCAAAGAAAACCTGAGCAACTTCAAACATCCAAAACTAAGCCATGCCACCACGCCAATGCTTATAAAAAATCACAATTCTGCCCATTGGGGGGCTTCTATCAAGACAGATTTCTCAGTATACTAACAAGCCATCCCAATCGTTGCTGGTACAATCAAAATCAACTTTCCCCATACAAAGACACTTTCAAGCTTCAAATTGCTGTAGGATCCAGCTAACGACTAACAGGGTCAAGCAATTATGCAAAATTCCAAATCAAAATATCGAAAGAGCAAAAAAAAAGGGAGTACATAGGAATACCCACCCTGGGTATCGTATAGTTCAATGTTAATACCCCAACCAGGGCCAATCAACAGATCACCCGTCGTCCTCTCGGCACAATCTACTGCATCCATAGCCTCTGCCTCTTTACTTCAAGGTTATCTTGCAAGTATTCCTGACCAGATCGACCCACCCAAGATGTCAATTAATATAAAATTCAAATTCCATGAAATTCAAGCAACCTTACTCCCCCAGCTAAAGTAAAAAAAAACACCTAAAAATCCGGACAGAAAGCCCAGGATTCCTCCAACATATGCAAAAATTATCCATTGATCAGCTGGGTTATCACCTTTTTAATTTGCCTCTTACCCTTCAAATTCAAAGACAAAGATACCCACTCCTAATATTGATCAAGGAGGTGCCAAAGATCACATTTTTTTTCCCTAAAAGAGGAGAAATTAAATTTTGGCCAATTCAGTAATGGAAATTTTTGGAGCCACTGCCAGTTCTGCCCAGCCTACTACCACCGAAGGAAGGATCCCCAACCGCCAAAAAATAGCTGAGTCAAGGCTTGGACCTTCCAAGGAAATCTCAGGGGACTAAGCTTTTATCAAGGACAGTTGCAGACGCTACTGAAACTGGTGCAGCCGCCAGTGCACGAAAGTAGCTAACTCCTAAACCCAACGACCACAACCTGGCCTTGAGAGAGAGAGAGAGAGAGAGAGAGAGAGAGAGAGAGAGAGAGAGAGAGAGAGAGAGAGAGAGAGAGACGGGGGCCACGGTGGTGGTGGTGGAGTGCGACGGTGGGTATGGCAACTATAGAAGCGCCGCGAGGCATCATCGACCATGTCAGGGTGGCGGTGGCTGCCGCTCATCTAAAGGAGGGAGAGGGGGCTCAATCGCATCCGAGGAGGAGACGCCAAAGACTTGCCAAGAGAGAAAGGGAAGCCCAAATCATCACGGACACAATTATTATTATCATTATCATTAAAATAATAAATAATAAATAAGGGATGAGAAATTTGTCAAAATTTAATTAATTTTTTTTTGAAAAAAGGACGAGAGACGGTGATCTTAAATCCAAATTGTGGGAGGGACAGTTTTTTTATTGAATTGGGCACTTGCAGATGCAGTTGCAGTTGCAGTTGCAGTTGGAAGATAGATACAAACGAGAGGTGAGGTTAGAGAGAGAGAGAGAGAGAGAGAGAGAGAGAGAGAGAGAGAGAGAGAGAGAGATGCTATTTGTTGCTGCTTTCGTTTTGTGGTTTCCCCTTCGTCTTCATTTTAACACCCCCTTACCCCCACATTACAGGAATCCCAACACCAGAAAATTACATCACTATGGAAAGACAAACGAAGCCGATTTTTCTTTTTTTTATTACAAAAAAGAAACAATATTAAACTTATCAGCCTCAACTCACTCACTCACTCGGCCCCCCACGAGGTAGGAATCCAATCTTGGTCTGGCGACGGGACACATCTTTCACTTTACGTGCTGCCTCTCCAAATATCATTTCTTCTACGGGGCCCTCGCCACCCAACTGCAAAGTGACCCGGTCGGTGGGGTCCCACTCAAACCCGGCCCACCAGTCTTTTCCTGCTAGGACCTCGAAGCTTCCCCTCGCGCTGCTCGAGTCCAACGGCAACTTTCTTAGACCAGGGCAGTCGAATATGACAAAGCTTACCCCCTGGGGAAAGGATAGAGTCTGGTCGCAAATGCTCGTTAGCTTGGGAAGACGGACGAGTGCTAGGTATTCGAGACGTGAGAATAGTCCCGAATCAGCTAATTCCTCCCTTGCAAATCCATCCCCAATGATTCTCTCCATCGATTGACAGTCTACGACTATCAGTTTCCGGAGCTTCGGAGCGTGCACGAGCCAGGACAAGTCCGAAAGCCTACAATTGTCGACGTAAACTTCAACAAGATTGGGGAAGCAAGAGCAATTGGGCGCTTGTCCTATTTCTTGAGTTATCTTCATCTCACTCAGCTTGGTACATTGAGATAAATAAAGCGTCTCTAAATGCGAGAAATTGTCAGTGCTTGTTGGTGAGTAAGTTATTACGATGCTAGTCAAGTTACCTTTCATATTATCAATGTACGCTCTCCTTATGCGTCTTCGTAAATTTGGGGATTGGAATATTTTCTGAGCAGAGGAAGACTCGCGCACGCAGATAGATAAGTCGGTGAGATGTTGCATGCACACTAGTTCCTCTACCGTCTCTTCTTCCTTCACTAAACCACATTCCTCCCAATGATCTTTGGACTCCCACTGGCTGAACACATTCAACGGTAAGCTTGTGATTGCCCCTCTCGGAATAAAGATGTTTCTTTCCAACATGTCGTCTAGTAGCAACCACCGTAAACGAGTCAAGTTCTTGATTTCCTTGGGTAATTCACTAATACCGGTGCCTGACAAGTTCAAGTACTGTAGATTAATCAGATTGCAAATCCCTTCGGGGAATGACTTGATATGTCTGTTGTCGGACAAGTTCAGGACCGCTAGACAAGCCGTCATCGAGTCGAAAAATCCACTTGGCAAGACAGTCACTCTTGTTTTCCTTACAAACAAAGTTTCAAGCTGGGAACACCTGGATGGTATTTGGTTGATATTCCGAATCCATTCTCCCTGTATAGTTACTTTCTTTGCTTCCCCCCATTTGGAGATCATCTCCTTGGACATGTCTTCTTCTCTCTCTATCACTAGCAACTTGCTCTCCCTTTGCCCATGGTCACGAGCGATCCACGTCGCCATGTCGCGGATGACATCGTGCATCTTTACGTACTCTCTTCCGTCATGCCCACTCTCCAATAGGCAAGCCCTATTTAACCTCCCCAAGACATGCTCTCCCTCATTACGCAAACTGTATACATCATCGGTGTCTCCTAACAAGCCCTCTCCAATCCAGAGTCCAATAAGGTCGTGCAATCTTATGTGGTAATCCTCAGGGAAGAGACAACAGTAAAGGAAGCATCGCTGAAGGGTAGAGTCATTTAATTTATCATAACTGAACTCTAATATGCGGTACACTTCCTCCTCCATACCTGATAACTTGTATGGATTTTTCTTGAGCTTTGTCAGCGCATCCTTCCACTCGTGGGGTTTGTCTATGCCGGCCATGGCTCGCCCGACGGTAATAAGGGCTAGTGGCAACCCTTCGCACTCTTGGACAATGTCCTTGGCGAGGTCTTGAATTTCTGGATGAGAATTTGCAATCGATTTGCCAACGTTGTTCTCGAATAATACCAGGGCTTCTTTGGTAGTCAAGCATTGTACTTTGAAGGAGGTATTGTCGGCTCCCATTTGGCTGCATACTTCCTTCGATCGAGTCGTGAATACTACTTTGGATCCGTTCTCAAAAACAGGATGAGAAACTCCGATTTTGGAAAGGTCCAGCCTCGCCCATACATCATCAATCAACAATACAAACTTCTTCTTCGTTAAAGCTTCCCACAAATAATGGACCCTGTCATCCGGCGACCATCCGTTCCAGTTCTCACCTGTAAGGCCCAGCCTTTTCCTCATAGCGTCTCGAATGCTATCTTCATTCACTTGCTTGGACACCACCACCCAAATAACGATATCAAATCCAGGATTTGGGTGCGAAAGCTTCTCGTTGATCTTTTTCATGAGGGTGGTCTTTCCCACACCACCTGGTCCGTACAACCCAATCACTCTTGCTTGTTTTTCGTCCACGAGCCATTTCCACGCTTTATTAAGGGCACTATCAAGCCCCACTGTCTCGCCCACAGGTATGTTAATTACTGAAGGAGGAGGCAACGGCATCGTCAGAATGCCAAATTGTCCTGCCTCAGTTTGGAGTTTTGACGCTTCAATGAGCATTCGATCGACTGTTTCCCCCAATTGATAACTCGACCAGCAGTGCCGTGGAAGACAACGACTGAGACATTTGATTCGGTCACGTTCCTCGGCTTCTTGACGAACTTGATCTACTCGACCTTCAAATTCTTGCATGCTGTCTAACCAGCTCGCCACTTGATTCGTGCGCTGCACACCTCCTCCATCTTCTTCACATTTCACCCTTGCTTTCACATCTTCGCTCTTGGCCTTCAGGTTGGCAGTTGCGGAATTCAACGAGTCGACATTATCTTTCAGATTATAAATGGAGCACAGAGGTTTCCTGGCCAAGCCCCATAAACATTTGACGAGATCTGAAAGAGGATTTGCGCACTCCATAGATTTTTTCGGAGGTGAGAGATCGAAAAATTGAGAGCCGGCAAATGGGTAGAGTTCGATTATAGAGAGAACCGTCTTGTAAGATGCCGTTACACACTCAATCATAGAGGCCAAAAGTAATGGCAGACAATATTACAACGATACAAGCCAAATGGCAGACATAAGTACAAGCAAGCGGAAAGTAACGAATGGTGGAAAACACAACTTAGTGGGCTGAATTATTGCGCATGCGGACAAACAACTTTTTAGAAAGGTGGATGAAGGAAGTACAGTGCTGCTTACTACTTCTCTCTATACAATTACCTACTTTTCCACAAAACTCTCTAAATTGTTACCATGCGTATTCATGAGGTTTGAATATCTTTCATGCAAGATACCACTGATCCTTGCTTCCGAGGAATTTTAGGATAATGTTAATCATACATTGTACTATTTTTAAATACATTGATTCTTTGTTGATTAGACACATTATTCATAGTTTTATAAAAGAGAGTTTTCCTAGCACTGTTATGTAATTTCCGCAATGGAGATTACTTTTAAGGAGAAAATAATTTTTTTCAATGGGCAATAATTTTGCAATATTTTGAATTGGCAACTTTAATTTGTAAAATTAATACCTGTGTAATAGAAAATTGTAACTTTTTGAAATAATTTAGCATTACTTTTACTCTTTTTTTTGCGAGTCATTTTACTTGATCCACTCGTCCAGTTACATGCGAATTAGCTATAGTTGTAAGGTCAAGCCGTAGGTAGGTGAAGCATTAACTTTTGACAAATCAAAGACTGCACATTAAAATCCGTATGCATCATGCATTTAGTTATTCAAACATACAAGGTATAGGTCATAAGTAGTAAAACAAATAGAAACAGATAGCAAAGAAAAGCATTGCATAGGCATTGTTAAGTTGTATTAAAAAAAAACAGATTAATAGCAACATATCGAGTTCTAGCGGTTGCTTGTGAAATAATTAGCATAACTTAATGAAGTTTAGTCACTCTGACTGGTTCAAATTACTTAAAAGGACAATTTAATATCCAAAAAGTGCAATTGATAAATTGGATAAGAACTGGGATCTTGTCGACATGGCACAATAAAACTTAGGACGGACAATTGCTACATACCAATCATGCAGTACCTTGAGACACAAAGAAGTTATACCCATGGTGCTGAAATGTTAAATTTTCCATCACACTAAGATTATTTGTAAGATGTGTGGCTAAATATGGTGTACTGTGGTGGGACGACGATCACATGCTTGCTCAAATGAGCAACAGTCATTGCTCAAACCGAACATTTTGTCACGAGCATGGAACTCCTATGATAACACCAGTGGGGTCGTTGACGTTGGTCGCCCCTTCTCACCCTTTTTACTCAAATAACCCTCCTGGCATTTTTCCTGGTTCTGAAAATGACAGTAATCCACATGACATTAACAATAGTGACTTCTTTAAGTAGTGAAACGGCTGTTAATAGCGAGTGTCAACCTATTTCTTGGCCGAATGAGTGTCGACCTTAACTCGTAAATATTTAGCGACCTAAAATAAAAGTTTCATCAGTTGCATTACTCATGAGTTTGTTGATATTACTTGTATAGATTGGCACGTGCAGGTGTCACGTACTAACCAACACTAGACATTTTCGTTAGGCTTCGCAGTGGATATAATAAGACTAGTATTTTTAAGGAAAAGAATACGTGGGCTAAAACTGAATAATGCTGAAAATACAAGGATTAAGAGTGCCATTTATATCAAAAGAGTGGTACCCATAGGCACCACACGTCCATAATTAGTGCTTAACCAACAAATTCTTTCAAACTTTCTATGCAACTATAACGAAAACATAAAAAGAACGTATTGTCAGTTTATCATTTCAAATGTAGCTTTTGTTTGAATACTATAGTTTGATATGTCCAAAGTTTAACCTAAGCTTCTGTAATCGAAGATAAACTTTATGAACAAGATAGAAACTTTTCAGTTCAGCATATGAAAGCTATCGTGATATCACTTGACAGTTACCACGGAGATTAAAGAGCCCGATTATAAAGAAGCAATTAAGGTTAGCTTCAAAGAGGCTATAGAAGGCTAACTTTAGAAATGACAATATGAACAATTCATCAAAGGCTAACTTTAATGATTAACATAAACATAGTGAGAGCATGGATGGGATTCTTTCCGAGATAAGAGACGTAAAGATGGACTGTTCCAACGGGTCGATTGGTGGAGTTCGATAATAGAGAGCCAGCCATCTTGTAAGATGCTTATGCATAGACATGGCCACGGGCCGGTTTTGGCCCAGAACCGGCCCGGGTCAAATCCGGGATCAGCCCGTTGACCGGGCCCACGGTTCGGAACCGGCCCGTGACCTACGGGCCCGGTTCAAAAAAAAAAAACTGCTGCTGCACAGCAGCCCTACGTTCCCACGCCCACGCCCACCTCCAGTCCTCCTCCTCCAAATCCCTCCTTCCCCACTCTCCTCTGTGCCTCCTCCGGTCCTCCTCTTTTCTCCTCCGCTTGCCCCTCGTCTTCCCAGATCCAACCCCCGCCGCCGTCGCCCCCGCCCATGGCCGCAGCCGCCAACGCCGACGCTCCCTTCTCATCCCCCCTCGCTACCCTGCGCCTCCTCCCCTTTTCTCCTTCGCCTGCCCCCCGTCTCCCCAGATCTGACACCCACCGCCGCCGCCGCATGGCCGCAGCTGCCGACGCCCATGGCCGCAACTGTCGACGCCGACGCCCCCTCCTCCTCCCCTCCTCCCGACTTCGCCTAGCCCCCGGAGGAGGAGGACCCCCCGCTCCTCCTCCCCGTCCCCATCCCCCTCCCCCTCTCAGCCCCCTCGCCGCCGCCCCCGTCTCCCGCTTCATCTCCTCGCCACCTTGAACCTCGCCTCCGCCACCGTGGCCAAGGCCGCGACGACCGACAGAGGACCAGGCCTGCAATTTTTATTTTATAATTTATTTTATTAATTTTTAAATTACGAACCGAAATCGATCGGAATCGGAATTGGAACCGACCTAGAACCGTCGGTTCCGGTTTCGGAACCTGCGGTTCCTGATCCGTGGTCATGTCTACTTATGCAGACTCAATTATAGAGACCCAAGTTAATGGCCCCACGACAGCACAATGATACAAGCCAAATGGCAGACAGAAGTAAAAGCAAATTGTACCAGCACAACCAACTCAGGGGGCTGAATTATTGCGCATGCTGACAAACAACTTTTTAGAACGGTGGATTATTGAAGTGGAGTGTTGCTTACAACTTCTATCTATATAATTACAGACTCTTCCACAAAACTCTCCAAATTATTACCGTGTGTATTCATGAGGTTTGAATATAACGTATCTATCACGGAAAATACCACTAATCATACATTGTACTGTTTTTAAATACATTAATTCTTTGTTGATTAGATAGACTATTCATAGTTTTATACAAAGAGATTTTTCCTAGCACTGTTATGTAATTTCCGTAATGGAGATTAATTTTAAGGAGAAAATAGATTTTTTCAATGGGCAATAATTTTGCAATATTTTGAATTGGAAATTTTAATTAGTAAAATTAATACCTTTGTAATAGAAAATTGTAACTTTGAAATAATTTAGCATTACTTTTACTCTTTTCTTTTTGCGAGTATTTTTACTTGATCACTCTCGTCCAGCTGCATGTGAATTAGCTATAGTTGTAAGGTCAAGCAATAGGTAGGGGAAGCATTAACTTTTGACAAATCAAAGACTGCACATTAAAATCCATAAGCATCATGCATTTAATTATCCAAACAAGCAAGATATAGGTCATAAGAAGTATAGCAAATAGCAAAGAAAAGCACATTGCATAGGCATAGTTCAGTTCTATTAAAAAAAATAGATTAATAGTAACATATAGAATTCTAGCAGTTGCTAGCGCAACAATTAGCATAACTTAATAAAGTTTAGTCATTGTGACCGATTCAAATTATACAAAAGGATATTTTAATACCTAAAACCGCAGTTGAAAAGTTGGACAAGAGCCGATATCTTGTCCAATTAATACGAATTATATACTAATACGAGATATGAAGAAGTTAAACCCATAGTGCGGAAATGTTAAATTTTCCATCACGCTTCCCATTTTTTTTCATCTATTATACTCTCAAATTATTTGTAAGATGCGTGACTTAATATAGTGTACGAAATGACATCTCATGATCTTGAGGTACGATCAATTCTCGTTCACATTTTACTTGATAGATGTTGTCCCACGTATCTAAAATAATGGACCACTTTATCTTACGATCCAAAGATTTTTTTCGTTTGTGTTTGGTTGGTGGGATCAGTGGCCAATTAGACAAATATCTCAATTTTTGTGGTTATCCTTGCAAAACTTTTTGATGGTCCTGCCTTGCATGTATTCAGTTACTGGGGAATTGTACATTTTTCTCATACAGTAAAACTTACTGCAAACAAGGAAGAAATAAAACAGTGTGTAAAGAGATTACACTTCCGATCCCTACACTTTAAGATATATCATGATTGACCCTTTTATTTCCATTTGTCATGAATTCTAATTACTGTGCTCTTATCTAACCATAGTATAAGTAATTTCATCAAATTTTTATTCAAAATTCAGTGAATATTTTTTGGTCAGCACTCATGCTTGATACATGGTACCTATATGTAAAAGTCTTTGCAACATTTAAATTTTTTGCTAATAATTTTAACTCACTATCTTGTATAGTAAAATAAAGGTTCTGCCACCACAACGGTAATCAATCTAAAGGTATAGAGCTTACTACCAAGTATCATATGTTTGAATTCCCAAATCACTCATCGGTCTCAAGGTACCTTGGTTCTTCTGGAGCATTGGTTCGATCATGCCTTGATATCGAATTACCCCGACTCTACTCTCACTAGAACCATGGTGAGATAGCAATGATGTGCTTGCTCAAAATGAGTCATAAATATAGCTCAAACTGAATATTTTGTCGCGGGTATAGAACTCCTCTGGTAACGCCCAAGGAGGTCGCTCACACCGGTCGCCCATTCTCACTCTTTTTACTCAAATAACCCGTTGCATATTTCCTGATTCTAGAAGTGACATAATCCACATGACATTAATAATTACGAGTTTTTCAAGTAGTGGAAAGGCTATTAATAGCAAGTGT